CACACACACACACACACACACACACACACACACACACACACACACACGCACACACACGCACACACACACACACAGGTCATGGAGTCATGCACTTCTGAGCAGTGGGCCTACAGGTGACCGGAACCTGACCTGATCATGACTCATCCAGAGCAGGTAACATCCTCACCACCTATACTGTCCTCCTCTCCTCACCCACCAGCACAAGCAGCTCAACTTACTCTCCGTGATCTTCTGCAAGCCCATCACATCCTCCGGACTGATGGCCGTCCTCGCCTGCAGCTCCTCCTCGGTGGTCGCCGGGACCCCCACCAGCACCTCGGTGGGGTTGCAGCCTTTCTTCACCTTCATCGTGGGGCTGCCGCTCCCGGTGCTGTCGCTGCTCCTGGCCCGGTCGGTGCTCGGTGACGGGTCGTGGCTGTTGCCTCTGCTGGTACAAGAATAGCTCATTCTCCGCGCCTCCTCCTCCTCCTCCTCCTCCTCCCCCGTCACCTAACCCCGGCTTCCAAGATGTTAAACCTCTCCGTCAGAGAATGCGAAGTGGCAGCCTGTTTATCCTTTGCTGAATAAATCCGCTCGGTCTGGATGTCCCGACCGTGTCTCCGCTCCGGGTCGTGCGCGTGGATCGCCGCGGACTCTGAGGGGGACGCGGCGCGTCGCTTTCTGCGCAGCTGCTCTTTGACGCGACGGTATTTGGGTTGAGTGAAGAGACACCAGACAGTGAGGGGAATAATCTGCTGGTTTGAAACGGCATGAGAGGCGGCAGATGGTGGCGGCGGTTGAGGAGGAGGAGGAGGAGGAGGAGGCGCTCAGCCGCGCAGCGACAGCGGCTTGTGCACATTTTGCGCTAAAACCAACCCGAGAGTCATATGATAAACAAGCCTTTGTGTTTGAGCTCTGCTCAGGGTTTACACTGCACAACAACAACAACAACAACAACCAGTGACAACAAGAGTCACACATTTTACATTTATTAAACAACTGAGTGACCTTTGACCTGAAGGAGACCTCTGCAGGACACTATCTATCTATCTATCTATCTATCTATCTATCTATCTATCTATCTATCTATCTATCTATCTATCTATCTATCTATCTATCTATCTATCTATCTATCTATCTATCTATCTATCTATCTATCTATCTATCTATCTATCTATCTATCTATCTATCTATCTATC